ACATATACAGAGAAACAATGATAATACGAAAACCGGTTCTTGCTGATATCTCCCAATAATCGCATTCGTTCAACGCATTAGTGTTTGTGTCTACATGGATGTTACTACATATGCGATGTAAGAGAGACAAGGACAGAATGATAGTCTCTCCTTGTCAAGCTGTTAGCTGTCAGTATGTTACCACGGAAATTTCCCCTGCTCCTTATGAATCTAGTGAGAATCTTATAGTCCAGATATTTCATAAAATAAGTGACATAACTTTGGTTTTTTTTTTTTAATATATTCTTGATATAATAAAGTAGTCCGCCAAAGAGTCGGATTTTGCATTTTTGCTCTGAAAAATTTATAATAAATAAAATACGGACTCCTGGCTAACCCAACCTTACCCGTTACTAGCTGCGCATTCCCCCAAGTTATATTATAAATTTTATTTTCATCTTTTTTTCAATAAATAACTCTTTGGCGGACTGCATTTGAGCTTACTGATTAAGAATATCATAAATTTAATAAGATTCATTCAGTAGTTTCGCTAATATCTGGAATATAAGAATCTCTAATTCCCGGCCGGCCGATAGGCGTCTCCACCATGTCGCCTGCCGACCCTTAAGGTTAATAATATTAAAACATTAAATAATAAAATAAGAATTAAAATTTTCAGGTATTTTTTGAAACATTTAATAATTTATTATATTTGATAGGAATAGAAATTTTATAAAACTGGCGCGAATAGAAGAAAAAATAGCAGCCCAATCAAAGGTTGCTACATTAGGTTTGTTCGTTTTGGCTACACTGGCTACACTAATTCAGAGGTTATCTTTTTCCTTCGGGCCTGAGCAGAATGGCTGACTTATAACCTTAAAACACTGTTTTATGCCCTAAGTCTTTGTCTTAGGTAACGCACAATACTGTGTTAATGTTTCCTGTCTTGTGTAGTATACGCGACGTTTTAAGGAATAAACGTAAAACGTATGTTAATGTGTAAACACAAATAACAATTCTATTATACAATTAATAATGAATATTTTATAAATAGTTATGACATAATACATTTTAAACTTATAAATATGTAATAATAATATTTCATATTCGAAATATATTTCAATAACTGTGAATATAACCTAACTTTTTTGTTCAAAGAAATTTATCTAATGTACTTATAAATAAAATGTTCTATTAAATTAAATATTATTTGATTTAATAGTATTATATATGTTTAAAAATCTTGTTAATTATTTTTGTATAACATTTAACAAAATCTATATGTATGTATACATATATTATCTAATGTTATCTATATCCTTTTATTAATTCCTTTTAGTTAAAATGGAAGATCATCACTATTGTGAACCTAATAATACATATTATACAGACAATAAAGTGTCAAATGAAAATGAAAATAATATTTCTATAGAAGAAAAAGATGGTGATGTTTTTCTAATTGAATTATATAGAGAACGTCCATTTCTGTACAATAAAGGACACAAAGATTTTAAAAATATAATAATTAAAGATAATGCTTGGAAAGAAATTTCTAAAATAATGCAAAATAAAAATTATGGTAAATATCAAATATTTTTTATTAATATTTCTTATTATGTCTTATTACTAATATATTATGCTAATTATAATGATAAAATCTCAACATTTTTACAGGCAACTTTTATACACCTGATTATTGTCAAACTAGATGCACATCTCTTAGAAATCAATATAATCGTGAGAAACGAATAATAGATAGTCAATATAAGAGTGGAAGTGGTGCTTCAACTCATAAACCCTTCACATTTTATACGCAATTATCTTTTCTTGACAATTATATCAAGAGACGAAGGTTTATAATGATAATTGCTTGAAAATCCACATTTTAATTGTATAATATGTATATATACTTATATATTCTTATATTTTCAGAACATGCAGTAATATAAAAGCAAATAAAACTTCAACATCTACATCATCTTTAGAACTATCAACAGAAATTCCACAATCTAGTTCGAATGAAGTATTTGATACCAAAGAAAAATCAAGTCATTCTATGCACGAAACAGAAGATAATAATTTTAATGGTGAAAATAAAGAAAATATTTTAGAAGATACTCTTGAAGCACATGTAACACATAAACGCAACATTGACAAAGATTCACAATTATATGTATTACATACAAAACCTAAATCTAAAAAAGTAAAGTCGATGAAACAAAGGAATTAGAAAATATATTTACATCGGTTAGCCAGAAAATCATCAATGTTTTAGATAACAAACGTGAAAACAATAATGAAGATGAAGCATTTACACAATTTATTGTTGCTCACTTGACAAATCTTCCACAATCTGAGAAAAATATAAGAAAGAAAATGATAACAGATGCTTTATTTTCTCCAATATAAAGCAAATGTAATATTTTTTGTTTTTAATGATTTTTATTTTTTTCATAAATTATTTTTATTTTTTATTAGTAAAGTATTTTTTATTACAATATGTGATACATTACTATATGTGATATTATAAAAAAGACTGTTTCTTTTAAGTAAAATTTTAAGTTTAAAATAATATTTTCAGTTACATTGTTTTTTAAATCTAATTTAATTTTATTATTTAATACGCAAAGCAATATTTTTGTTTAAGATTTTTTATTTATGTGATAGGTGATCTTAGATAGATATGTGATAGATGATCTGATATGTGATCTTCAATTATTATATTAACTATACTATACTATACAGGGTGTCCGGTAATGGTCGCCTCAACCGTCGTGTGCAGGTAGAGTAAGTTAAACCGAATAGGAAAGTCCTCTACCGTTTTGCGATTTTCGCAATAATTATTGTGTTATTAAATAAAAAAGATCGGCCAATCTAAGCGCGCGACGAGATGAGACGGCCCCCTGTCACACGATACACGGCGCGCGGCAAAGCGGAGGGAGGAGCGAACGCGATGGCTACGAACGGCGCGTAACGCTAAAGCTCCGCGACAACTATTTTCTCTCTTTCCCTTTTCATCTCACTTTCTTTTCTATAATATTTTTATTATAGTAAATATTAATCAGAAAAATTCTTATAAAATTCTTTCAATACCATTGTCCCACGATTACCATCATTTTTAGAGTAAATTTTAAGAAAAAATTTTCTCTGTGTAGTATTCGAATACATCCTATCAAAATTTTACGTTTTTAAAATAATCAATAAATGATAATAATGAGAGAGGGAATGAGAGAGAAAGAGAGAGTGAGTGAGTGAGTGAGGAACGTTATCATTTATGATAATAACGTTCCTCACTCTCTCTCTCTCTCTCTCTCTCTCTCTCTCTCTCTCTCTCTCTCTCGTTATTATCATTTATTGATTATTTTAAAAACGTAAATTTTGATAAAACGTATCCGAATACTACACATAAAAATTTTCTCTTAAAATTTACCCTGAAAATCATGATAATCGTGGGACAGTAAGGTACTGGAAGAATTTTATAAGAATTTTTCTGATTAATATTTACCACAATAAAAATATTAATATCTACCACAATAAAATAAAAATGTACTCGATTAATTTTACTATGTTCATATTAATAATTTTTAATGTAGTAAATATTAATCAAAAAAACTCTTATAATATTTTTCCTACACCATATTATCCCACGATTATCATGATTTTCAGGATAAATTCTAATAAGAGAAAATTCTCTCCGTGTATGGTGTGATTTGCATCAGACTCTTATTTTGCTTTGTATGCATGTTAAATTTTAATGAGATACATCGTCGAAAATGATGTCAATGCGATTATTAATTTTTCAAAACTGTACTTTACAATAATTAATCAAGATGCCATTTTGAAAATAAAAAGATTCGTTTTTAGTAAAGAAAGTGAGATGAAAAGGGAAAGAGAGAAAATAGTTGTCGCGGAGCTTTAGCGTTACGCGCCGTTCGTAGCCATCGCGTTCGCTCCTCCCTCCGCTTTGCCGCGCGCCGTGTATCGTGTGACAGGGGACCGTCTCATCTCGTCGCGCGCTTAGATTGGCCGATCTTTTTTATTTAATAACACAATAATTATTGCGAAAATCGCAAAACGGTAGAGGACTTTCTTATTCGGTTTAACTTACTCTACCTGCACACGACGGTTGAGGCGACCATTACCGGACACCCTGTATATGTGATATTATTAAAACTGTTACATGTGATATAAGATCTTAAAAGGTAATTTAAGAAAAATAATGTTTTTAATATATGTACTATTTTGTTTTTTTAAAAGTGAGACGTTATGATTTTATTATTTTTATTTACTTATTAATTTGTATGTGCATTAATAGTTCTAAAGCACTTTCCTTATGAACTATGTTTATTATTTAATTGCTTCATTTGTATACATTTGTAATGTATATCTTGCTAATTATATAATTATTATATAAAAAAATTCGATTTGTGGTATTTGTTGTTATTTACATAGATCTTTATTACTAGATACACATCAACTTAGATCAACTTTAAAGCTTTATTGTAAAATTGTAACAATATAGTTGAAACATTATGCCGTATGACTAAAGACAAATAATAAAAACAAAATATATAAATGACTTTCATTAATAAATAAAAAAATAATTATTAAATATAAGTAATACTATGCGCATTAATATTTTGCTTGTAATGACAATTCACTATTAAGAAAACTTTTCTTAATTGCTGCAATGTATAAACTTTCAGAAAATAATGTTAATTAGGTTGTAGAAATTAATATTAATTGATCTAGCAGTAAGGAGATAATCGGTATATAAACTTTACATATAACAATATGCAAGATCGGTACGGCATTATTGTCAAATTCTAATTATATATAACACAAGAACTATATAAAGATTCCAACTTTATCTTATTCATTTTTTTACTTAAGTAGAGCTCAGTTTAGAAATTATGTTGTCAAAAAGCTACTAAAAATATCAAGCTATATAATTCTTGAACACATTTTTTTTTATACTAACATTTTATTAGAAAAAATAAGATTAAATAAATAACCGAAAATTAAATGTATGTGTATAGAAACCATTATTTTTATATTATTAAATATTTTCACCATATGTACCTCTTCGCACGTAATCGTATTGCCACGGTACTTCTCCTTCAGGTGATATGAAATATTTACACAATGTGTCTCTTTGTTTCGAAGCAGAAGATACGGGTTCATTATAACATAGGTTTTCCGAAAAAGACAACCACTGCATATCCTTTATAAATAAAAATAGTATGGTTAATTAAATTTAAAAATATACAGTAATTAATATTTTAATAACAATATTATATACACATAATGTATCTGCATTTATTTAATTATTTTATTATATTAATTATTAATATTAAAATTTTTTTAATTTATCAAAAGTTTAAACACAAAATTAAGTTATATATATATATATATATATATATATATAACTTAATATATATATATATATATATATATATATATTATCTGCAGAATAAAAATATTTTAATGTTTATTTTACCTGATTATTTCTATCGTTTTCAAGAAATTCAGTTGTGCTGTATAACTTTAGTTTACAGCGTTCTTCTTCAACCATTACAAAATTATGTAAGCAGAGCGATGCTGTTGTTATCAAATCGGCTGTTTTTGGCAGCATACAAATGGATTGTCGAAATATTCTCCATCTATTAGAAAATATTCCAAAGGCGCTTTCGACTGTTCGCCTAGCTCGAGAAAATCTATAATTGCATATTTTTTGTTCTTCATTTAAATTTCTTCCGGTATATGGCTTCATAATTCTCGTATTTAATGCAAAAGCATCGTCTGCCAATAAAAAAGTTGGTGTACAGATTTGACTTCCAGGTAATTTGAATGTTTCCTTTGGTAGATTTAAGTTTTCATTTTTTAAATTTTCCCCAATTAATGAATCGTTAAAAATTCCGCCATCGCTGTTACCACCGTATGCACCAACATCAACTAACGTAAATCTATATATACGTGGTTTGCCACTGCCATCAAAACAATACTATAATATTTTTTGTAATTATAAAAAAGACTTCCCGAATTAGGGGGACATTGCAAGGTAATGTGTTTTCCGTCTACTGCCCCTATGCAATTTGGCACATTCCACCTCTTCCAAAATCCTTCAGCATACGACTTCCATTCTTCTTCATTTGGTTGTGATAGATACAGTGGTTGTAATACATTTATTAATATCTGACATACTTCTTTAATTAACATACGCATTGTTGATTCACCAATTCGAAATGATAGAGCGATAGACAAAGGAAGATCTCCAGTGGCAAGATATCTGAAATACATTTTTATTAAAATATCTATGTTATTAATATTATTTATTATAAAAAGATTATTAATTTTCCATTTCTCTCTCTCTCTCTCTCTCTCTCTCTCTATCTATTAAAGCATGTTTCGAGTAATAATTATTTTAGGCAATTTTTGTATATCTGACAAAAATAAAATACTATTAATACTATTTAATATATTATTCAACATTTATATTTAGTCTAGAATACCTGTTTTAGTCTATCAGAATCTGTCTTTGTTACTTTAATAAAATTTCTTTTTTATTGTTATTTCTACAAGATATAATTATTTTGAAAAAAAAATAATAAAAAAAAGAATTACTTATAATTACCTTAATACTATTATCAATCTCTGTTCTGCAGGAAATGCTCGATAGCTATTTTTTGTTAAATGAGGTTCAGTTAATTGAAGTAATTTGTTAAATAAACATAAATTCATTCTCGTATAACAAAAAAATAAATATGTATCATTTTTTAATTCTTGGTAAAGTGTCTCATAATCTCCGTATTTGTATCTCAGTTGGTTTATTGGTCGCACGTACCATCTTCTTTTATACCATCTAATTTGTTTTTTTTTTCGTTTTAATAATTTATACAAAAGCATCCATTGTAAAACAAGCAATAAAAATTGCTTATTTCTATACATCATTTTAATATACCTGAAATTAAAATTGTTTTCTGTAAAATAAATTAAATTAAATATTATACAAATTTAATAATTAACAAGATTTTTAAACATATATAATACTATTAAATCAAATAATATTTAATTTAATAGAACATTTTATTTATAAGTACATTAGATAAATTTCTTTGAACAAAAAAGTTAGGTTATATTCACAGTTATTGAAATATATTTCGAATATGAAATATTATTATTACATATTTATAAGTTTAAAATGTATTATGTCATAACTATTTATAAAATATTCATTATTAATTGTATAATAGAATTGTTATTTGTGTTTATACATATACATACGTTTTACGTTTATTCCTTAAAACGTCGCGTATACTACACAAGACAGGAAACATTAACACAGTATTGTGCGTTACCTAAGACAAAGACTTAGGGCATAAAACAGTGTTTTAAGGTTATAAGTCAGCCATTCTGCTCAGGCCCTTCCAATGTCGAGCAAAAAAGACAATCTCTGACACAGATTAATAGACAGATCGCCAAAGGTCTGTATAAAAAGGAGACCGTTATTTTTGCCCCTTACCGACACACTTTGCCCCTGGTTCGAGTCCAGGCTAATAAAATCCTTTAATTTTACCAAAAACTTTGCCTCTACTGCGAGTTCAAGCTAAAATCCTTTGATTATACGTGTAAAATAAAAAGATTTCAGCCTGAACTCGCACCAAAGGCAAAGTTTTTTGGTAAAATCAAAGGATTTTATTAGCCTGGACTCGAACCAGGGGCAAAGTGTGTCGGTAAGAGGCAAAAATGACGGTCTCCTCTTTAGACAGGCCTTTGGCGATCTCTGAACTAGTGTGTGGCCAGTGTAGCCAAAACCAGTGCCAAAACGAACAGACTTATTATTGGACTTTTTCCAAATTACTTAGTTTATATATATTCGCCCAAGATGGCGCTTTGAATGCTCGTTCGAAGCAAAATACAGGAGGTAGGAGTTACATATCTGTTTTCATCTATGATTTAACGCATTGCTTAGTATATGTTCTGTGACGCATTGCTGCGTGCGTGTTATATGACGTTTATTATGATGTATTCATGCAATTATAATTATGTTCAATATCTGTCACGAGTGGTAAATTACGTTGCTAAATCATATTAGTGAAATGTCAAAATTCATTCGATCTCAAATGTATTATTTTTTGACAGCGGTTTGTATCCTCTTTCGATTATTCTGTGCTTAATTTTTCAATTTTAAACTTACCAGTTGAATTCAAAATGTTATTTCAGATTCAAGGACGATGAATACCTAAAAAAGTACAAACAAAGTTATATTAACATAATTTATAATTGTCTTGGAACGGTTACAAGATGGTAAGTCTAATTTATGTACCACGGTGTCCCATAGGAAATGGCTGAAACTAATCAGCTGTAGAGCCCCTTATTTCACGTATATACACGTATGGGTTAGTGATATTACGAATATTCGTATTCGCATTCGCAGAAAATATGCAAATGTTTTGCGAATATTATAATATAAACTTTAGTAAAAGTTGGTCTCTTAAAGTTTGTTAGTGTTCTTTAATGCGTTCAGACGTGTTTCGTCTGAAAAATTGAATGAACGCGAAATGACAGCAAACAAAGTCATGCATTTTCAAAGTATACACCATTTGAATTTGTACAAAATTCTGTTCTGTTACAAAAATTTATAAGAACTTTTTCTAACATGTCATTTTTAATGTTATTGACAATCTTTTAAATAGTTGCTATTAAATATGGCACTATCGTAAATATTTATCATTAGTTTATGTGATTATTAGCACTTTTTTCATTTCTTTTTATCAATAAAATAAACTGGTATACAAACATTTTATTTATATCTATTACAAAATTGCAGACTCCTTTTTTTAACACAATTTTTGTTTTCTCAATAATTGCATGCATTAAAACATGACAGCTGATTAGTTTCAGTAATTTTCTATGGGACATCCTGTAGTTATTTTGAAGAAAAAATTTATGTGCATAAAATAGAATAAAATAGTATTTAGAAAATTACTTGCTCTTTACACTATAATCAAGATCTTAATAATATGCGAATCTCAATATAATTACACTGATGATTTATATTGTATTACTATTTTTTTTATGTAGGCAACATTGAAGCATGATATTGAATTACCAAGCAATATTCCAGAATTATTAATGGAGAAACATGCAAACTATCTCATTTCGTATGGGACCAACAAAGATGAATATGTAAGAATCTATTTTAAATTTTATTTATAGGGTGTTTTAAAAGTCAAATCTGCAATTAAATATCTCATAAATAATAAATTTTAGAAAAAAATGTCAATTTTAAATAAAAATAATAGGTAAATAATAATCCTTAAGGTTGCCAGTAATAATTAATAAAAAACCACTCCTCAACGTTTAAAGTCGACCAGACTGGCGATAATTTATTATAAATAATTATTTGAAATACAACGTTTCGGCTGTCATTGCAGCCCTTTTCAAGTACATCTATAAAAAGTTCCATCAAAATAATTATAATTTAATACACTTATTCGCAACAATTAATTATACATTTAAAAACAAAAATGTGTTACATACCAAATTTAAAACAGTAAATCAACTTCTATGCAAACAACCGACAATGTTAACGCTTGTTTTGATGAACAATGCAAGACTGACAGAAGTAAGCACATATTAAATAGATGTTAACTGTTCGCAAGAATCTTAGTCACTAAGCGTTAAGAAAATAGAGACGAAACTAAATGTGTCTTTCGTAATTTAAATCGTCATAATAAAGTCAAATAAATAATAAATAAATAGGTGGATATAAAATAAAATTAAAGTAAAAATAAAACGACTTAAATAACGTCAAGAACACGATCATAAATCCCACTGAAATTCTCCGTATCTTCTGTAAATTATACTTTTTCCTTGTTTTTTTATGTAAAACATTTCTGCAATTTCTCTTTTTCTTGTCTGTTTTTTCTTCATGCAGAATCACCGGAGAATCCCAACGGAACTCATGATCGTTGCAAGTCCGATGCAAACTAACGACAGAATGCAATGTCTTGTCTTT